AATGTATATGAATGCTGGCGGTTAGACGAAAAGCATCAAAGCATTTCAGATGAACAGATGCATGTTCATAGTACTAGCTTTCATCAGATAGCTATTTTGGATTAATATATTTGCTGTACGAAATTCCGAGTTGCATAAAAATAATGCCTGATAGCCTGAAGCAAATCTGCTGCGTTAAACTGAATTCTGTGTGCATATATAATAAACTGTTTGAAAACTTGTTGCAAATCAATAATCTATCGATGAATATTTTCGGTAAAGTTAAACAACAAGGCAAAGCGATTGGCACAACGCCAAAAGGGATGCAACAGCTACCACACATATACGAAAATGGATTTGTATCTGACGAGTAGTTCAAGTAGCAACTGCAAAAATTTAATGCAAATGGCAATTATACTACTAGGTACGTAGGGAAACTCATGAAAAATACGATATAATACATATCAGATCTGATTCAAACAGAGAAAAAATGGTAAAAAGTCGAACTTATGCAGCCAGTAAATAAATATATAATGGAATAGCATTGGATTAGTGACAGTAACAATACACAAAATGTAGATTAACGCTTCATACATAACATGATTAGCAATTATTTGCGTGATGCCAGCAACCATCGAAAATAAAGGGCTGTGCATTTTTCAGAACTGTCGAACAGATGCAGTAAATGGAAAGATGATTGTCCACTTGATACGGAGACAATCCGAAACTGTACAATAAGGCATTCTCTGCATCATTCATAAGCCTCATTATACGAGATTGGCAAGAACAGCAAGAATTATATCTGTTCTGACAATCCAAATGCAATCAGCTGTCAGGTAGATCTCAAAGAACTGAGACAATAATGGGAGACTGCATTAGACAGCATTGCCGCGCCACTCGCCCATACTGGATTGGTCAAAACATAATGACTACCTACGTCCTGCGAATTGGCAGTTGCTACGAACGTTATTATGGCAGAAGTTTGAAACTGACCTCCTTTAACCACTGCGCCTCGTATCACATGGTACGCTACGACCGTGTCACAGATTTATAATTTTAAGTACCTGGGTTTAATTGCCTCTAATAACAAAAACAGTAACAAACTAAAGCAAAAGTGGTCAATTAGTTGAGTAACTCAGAGGCCTTGAGGAAAGAAGTCAGAAAACAACGACGAAAAACTTTCTATGTATTGTGAAATGTAGTAAAACATCTATATATTACTACAGCTAAAGTAATCCACTCCATCCTATGCAGAGGACTCAATCCTTTCATAAAGATGGTCAATGAAAATGACACCTGTGCTGATAGCGAAAGTAAAAATGTACAGTCAATTGAAAATATTTACGAAATATATCGAACATGATACCATGTGACCTTACGCAGCACTAGTAGTCCACTTCATCTTATGTCATTTTGCCCAACTCAGCACACCTCGCTAACGGCCGATGCAGTACATTATGCTATCGACTACAAGCACGCCGCAGTGTCATTATTTTGTCTAGGCAGTCGCGCTGTGTAGGCCAAGTTTTCAATGTTAAGAAAGTTAATTAATTCAAATTTTAATATTTAGGATACAATCCAAAAATCAGTGATTGAAAGACTGGTAAACCGATGATAAACTCGCCAGGCATTCTTCTAATGTAGCCTATTAATCTTATATTCTGTCATTCTGTAATAAGCGTTCGTATGCTTTCTACCTCACTTGTATAGATTGTCGTACATTCTGGATCATGGTCTATCAGTGTAAAGTCATATGTCGGTGCAGCAATGAAAATGATTGCTGTTAAAACTGTGTTTGGTCAAAGACGCTTTTGAACGGCTTGCTTCTGCTGTTTCCGTTGACGGTTCGGAAAGCGGATGGTCGTCGGAACGTCATGTTCATGCTGCCATTTCTCGCTCTTTCTAGTTTCGTGGCTGATATTCACATGTAGTGCCAAAAGGTCGCCGGGTTCGAACCTGAAGTTGAAGTGGCCTACGCCATTTCTGAGTGGTTTCGAGGAAGTGCATTACGACAGATCGTTAGTGGTGCAGCAGAGCCACGAAAGACGGAGACGGTCATTGTCATCATTGTTCGAGTATCGCCCGCTTGAACTGTCCCTAAAGTATGGAGAACGGGTACTGCAGCTGGAGCTGAAGCGAGACACTTCGGTATTCGGCAGGAGCCATGTGTTGGAGGAAAACGGAAGGACTGTAGCCTCGCCGGACGTGTCGCATTTGTACAGTGGTCACGTTCTCGGCGAACCAAACAGCGTTGTGCACGGCTCAGTGATTGACGGCGTCTTCGACGGGGACATTTACTTGAACGGTGATGTATTTCATGTGGAAAGAATTTCGAAGTTCGGATCGAACGTTGTTCAACCTTCGATTCACTCCATAGTGTACAAAGAGGAGGACATCCAATTTGCGAATGTTCGGTTGAAGCGTAGTCCCATGCGTTCCAATGCCACAGTCGGATGCGGTTTGCAGAATGACGCCATATGTGAGTGGATGCAGCGGATACGGCATTCGGCTGTTGACGATGGGCTACCTTGGACATTGGATGAGACCACCGAACAGAAGGTGAAATTTTGGCCTTCTCATTTGGTTAAAGAACAGAAGGAAGAAGCACCCTCTCTTAAATACCTCGCTTACCGACGAGAGGACAATCTGAGGACTAAGCGTGACGCTGCTACCGAGACAAATGGACAGAAAATGCGAACTTGTAGTCTTTACCTGCAAGCGGACCAGAAACTGTGGGAACATGTGTTTCTTCATGAAGGTCAGAGGAACTATGAACGAACGCGTAATGAAATTCTTGCTTTGTTCCATAGTCACATCAAAGCTGTGAATGTGATATTCGAAGATACTGATTTCAATGGCATAAAGGGCATAAATTTTGTCGTTCAAAGGACGACCATATTTAACAATCGGTCATGTCCGGGTGGTAGCGATGGTGGCAATCCGTTCTGTGAAGAAAACATGGATATAAGCAACTTCTTGAACCTGCATTCCCGTAGCGATCACTCGGACTTTTGTCTGTCTTATGTTTTTACGTATAGGGACTTTACTGGAGGCACCTTGGGGTTAGCTTGGGTGGCCAGCCCTCAGGTTTCAGCATCCGGTGGAATCTGTGAGCCGTTTAAGCATTATCTGGAGGGGACGCGTCGAGTGAAGCGCAGTCTGAATACTGGCGTCGTGACGCTGGTTAACTACCACAACCGTGTTCTGCCGAGGATCTCTCAGTTGACATTGGCTCATGAATTGGGTCATAGCTTCGGTTCATTACACGACTATCCGTCTCAGTGTCAGCCGGGATTGCCGGATGGCAACTTCTTGATGTTCGCTTCGGCAACAGCCGGGGACAGGGTAAACAACGCTCGGTTCTCTCCGTGCTCCGTGAACAACATATCGGCGGTGTTGCGAGAGATGTTCCGCCAAGCCGGTGAAAGTGTTCGACTCAGTACGAGGAAGAGGAACTGCTTTATTTTGAGGGAGACGTCGTTTTGTGGCAACGCAATGGTAGAAGACGGCGAGGAATGCGACTGCGGCTTCAATGACGACGAATGCCGTCAACGGGGTGACTCCTGCTGCTATCCCCGGTCGCATGTCGGAGAGGCAAAAGGGTGTACGCGGACTCCATGGGCTGAGTGTAGCCCGTCAGAGGGCGTTTGCTGCGATGGTACGACATGTAAGTACGTTCCTGCCGACAGCAGAACATGTCGCCAGGCATCCGAATGCAGCCATTCTCAGATGTGCGATGGGCATCAGTCAGTGTGTCCCCCGTCGAAGCCTCGGCCGGGTGGCACATTGTGTCAGGAGAACAGCAAGATATGCGATGCCTTCGGCGCATGCTCGCAGTCAATATGCTCTCTGCTAGACATGGATGAGTGCTTTGTGACCGATGGCACTCCAACCGAGCAGTGCGTTCTAGCATGCAGGAGGCAAAACGCCTCCAATGGTCCTTGCATTCCCAGCTACTCTCTGCCACAGCTGCGTCCTTTTTACCATACGTCGTCGGCGGACAGCGCGACCTCTCGTCCGAACGGCATTCTCCTTCGCCCCGGCTCACCGTGTAACGATTTCAGGGGATATTGCGACGTGCTTCGGCGATGCCGTTCCATTGATCCCAATGGACCTCTATCCCGGCTGCGACGGCTGCTGTTCGAAAGCGAGAACATTCAGACTCTGCTTGGCTGGGTTCAGACCCACTGGTGGTCGGTGGTGCTGCTGGCCATCGGTCTGTTGGTGACCGTCGCCATGTTTGTCAAGTGTTGCGCGGTGCACACCCCCAGCACGAATCCGTACAAGTCACCGGCTCGTAGCGTCTACGATACCCTGCGGTACCCTTCGACCTTGCTGTCCCGCGGCCACCGCCGTCGAGACTGCCACGTGGTCTACTACGCGCCCTCATCGCCCTCCTTACCGACGAACAACAACATCAGCGATCCTCCACCGCCGTATTGCGCCGCTGTTCCGGAACTCGTTATCCTCAGAGGATACCGCGGACATAGGCGTTGACCACCGCCCGCATACTTCCTCAGTTTACCCTCCTTCCGCATTTGATTGAGCAAATTCGACACGGCCTTCGTCTTTGCTTCCCAGCTGCTCTTGAAGCTGAGCCAGACAGACCGAATGACCAAATCTAGTTTCTCGATTTTGCTTTTTCCATTTTGTCCTTTTGTCTATTTGTTTAACATTTCGAAATATCCTCTGCTTATTTCTTCAGAGCTTTAACTGTTTTATTACCGTTGTAAAATATTTCAAAGGAATGAAATTTTATTTTTTAATCTTTTAATTCCTTAAGCCTTTTAAAGGTAAAAAATCTGTAATGGAGCCTTTCCTCTTTCTAGCCTTTTAGCACTGAAAAACAGAGTTGAAGAAGCATGAAGCACCGAACATCTTGATGGAGCTGTTGAAATGCGTGCCTGCGTTGACAAAAATTCGTGGCTGCCTACTCGGTGGCTTGGCCGGGGACTGTTTGGGACATCCGTTCGAACTCGAGCACGTTTCCGACCCAGCCAACTTCGCCAAACTGGTGCGTTCGTTCGTGTGTGATTTTATCCAAGGTAATACAGCTAGTCGCAACGAATACTGTATAATTCTGTGAGATTGCGAATGAAGGAGGCAATAAGGTAGAGAGGAAGCAATGCGGATGAAGGAGCTGAAGTGAGTAAGGAAGTTTAGAAGGAGTAGGTGGTCTAAAGGGGGGAGCGGTGGGTAATGCAGACAAGAGGATGAGGTGAGTGGCAGTTGTTAGGGTATGGAAGAGTACGAGGTCGGGTACTGCAAGGCGAAGAATGATGACGATGATAAGAAGAGAAAAAGGACATAATTTTAAAAAAAATTTTGCGTGGCATATGAAGGAGCAAAAGGATGAAGAGGCCTGACAGCATATCATGAAGAAAATAAGGTGAGAAGCAGAAAGTGGAGGATGAAACCTTTTAGTAGCAGAACAATAGTTCAGTTGTGATTGGAAACTGCGGAGCTGTAAAAACGTAAGAAGTACGTACAGTAGGGCATGAAAGATGTAGAGCAGGGTGGCGACGACATGAAGGAAAATGAAGCAGTGACAGGTAAGAATTATAAAGTTGTGATAAACAACAGAGAAGACGTGGCCGAATGACAAGAATGGAGGAGATGGTGAATGAAGAGTGAGAGGGAACAAACAGTTTGAAAATGAGCTATAAAAGGAGGAAAAGGATAGCCTGATGACGATAGTCAGAAGAGCATGCATTAATGCGGTTTTTCATTTTTTGCCGTTTATTGTGCCTGTATATAAATATATTTATGCCGTTTTATATCCCTGTATAATGGGGTTGTGACCATGATTGGATTGCTGAAGAATTACTGTCAAAAATTTCTGAAATGGACGGAAATCAGGGGAAATAGATGCAGGCTGCCACGTCCGCCTGAACATCATTTCCGACTCGGTAAACCTCAGGACACGATTGGTAATTGGTCTTTGAAGGTGATCACTTTTTTTGTATCCAACCATATTGCTAGAACAACAATGAAAGGCGTATTTATCTATGTGAAATCAAGGAAAAGGGGAAGATCAAAGCAGATGTCATCGGAATGTAGGAGAGCCGAAGGTCTACTGAAGTTGTTGCGCAGTGGAGCAACGACGATCAAGTGTTCATTGGAAAGTCTGATTGACAACACCGGGTTCATAGTACAAAGGAAGGCTCTGTCCTTTATACCGAGCTACGATATTATATCACATCTTATAGCAATTCTGCTTCTAAAGATGGACGAATGAAGAATAATAGAATTAACCGAGGCTTACAGCCGGCCCAACAAGCTGAAGATGAACATATGGGGCAGTTGTACGAGGTATTAGAAGTCGCAGTGGAAAAGAACAAAAAGTCAACGTTATTGTTCAATGTAGTCGATATGAATGCCGTTTTGTAAAATGTTCCAAAGCGCCAATGGACATGGAGAAGTGCAGACGGAAAGTTTTTAAACCAAATTGATAATGTGCTGACTGCCAAGAAATAATGCTTAGCGGCAACATAATCTGTTTTCGTTGCCATACCGCAGTCTTATGGGTTATAGTTAATCGTTTATGTTCAACCGGTTTATGTTTTTTCATAGGGAATCTTTGTTACTCAGTCTCCACATCTACTGAGTCGGAAGGGAATTACTTGATTCCTTACATAGTCCTATCATTACATCTTATTGTGCGTCAGAGCCAGCACCGTTTTGTGCAGTTCAACCATCGTTCTTTGTTCTTTTTGAGCCGCACAACAACATGGACTATCGACGCAGTACATTGGGGGATTTTTGTAAAGGGATTATCCGTTTCTTACTTAATATATTGGATAGGTTACCAGAAGCACTCGATGCTAGAGTGATCTTCCTGTTTAACTCAGATTGTGTCGTGCCGTGGTTGGAGATGATATTGCCGAAACACTTAATTTGGTCAACCCCCTGTAGCGCTTCAGCTTCCTCTTTCAACTGTAGATCACCTATCCCTAAAGGATTCCTAATAAATTTTTACGTCTCGACGTTAAGGAGGAGGGCGACTTTCGCGGCTATGTTGCATGCAAGTGGCGTCAGATGACAGTTCGCCGTATTACTCACAAGGGCTGTATAATCTGTATACTCCAGATCAACAAGTTATCTGGCCATATATCTTGACCTGCGCCTTTATTTTAGAATGACATTTTCGTCTGTACCAGAATCTGTGCTGTTTTGGAGAGAAAGACGAGAGTATGTAGTTTTATTTAGCGATTTACATGGCAGCACTCCAACAATTGTGAGACTTCTTTCTGTCCCCAAATCAGTTGGGAAACTTAGATCTGCAGAGGCTGGATTGAGGAAATTCTTAAATTATTCCAGCCATTTTTGAACGATATAGTTCTCGCTGGTTAGAAAGTTTCCTTTAACTGTTTACCGTTCGGAACCTGATCTGGCCTGCGAATTGTTACCCAGATTCTTTTTTCTCTGCCGGTGAAATGTCGGATTTCCGGTTCTCACCTGGCGATTTAAGGTCCCCTGGTTTTGCAGCTTTTGTTGTTTGTGGTACAGCTGCTGAGGCTTTCATGAGCCGAATGCACAAAGAACAGGATAAGTTCTGTTAATCCATGCAAAAACCACTACGTATTTTCTCGAAGGTGTCTTGAATTTCCGTCAGAGAGTAATTTTTCTTAAGCCACTCTCGAAAATAAGTCGATTTAGCCCACATCAAAGTGAGGTCGAAGCAGTTATATACCTGTTTTAAACAGCTTCAACTCCTTTTTATTTTAGACTGGACTCTGGCTCTGTATCTGATTGAATCTCCGTGACTGGTCACTCGCAAACCACTTTCTCATACTTTTATCTCGCGGAACTTCTCGCTTTATTCCGTATTCACTATTCTGCCTAGCATACTTGCAGTTCGCTTTAGATTTTGAAAAGGGTTGGTGCTAATCGCGAGATATTTTTCGGCAGTTCTGTACATCCATTATTAAGTATTACCGAAGAATGTTTATATCTGGGAGTCGCTTATGACGAAACCATTCTTAAAACTAGTGTTAGTGTCACCAGCTAAAAATTGAATTTCTTGTATGCCGTCTTTCAGCAATATACTGTCCAAATTGATTTTCAAGGCCTGTTATTCATGTCGAGCAGCAGGGTTAATTACTTTAGGGGAACGTGTCGTCTCCAATGGTTCTAGTCTGCTACCAAACGGACTGTTTTTAATGGTGCAGCTTTTCAGCAAAAGAAAAAGAACTGTTTCATTTGAAACTGAAAACTGAAAAAAAGAACTGTTTCATTTGAACTTACGGGTACATATAGTGACGAAGGGAGTTCTGCCGGAAGGAATTAGTCCACTAATTGTGTGGCGTATTGACACAGTTGGCTACGAGGTATGCTTCGAAATTCGGAGGTAATGGGTTCGATTCCACTCGACTGGCAATCTGTGTCTTATTGATGAATTCCATGATCAAGGAATTTACCACACATTGCTTCAGACCAGGGTTGTTACGTCGGTAGAGCGTCGAAGTCAGAACCGATTGGACCAGAGTTCAAGCTTGGATCAGGATCACTCGCCCTTCTTCCTTCCGAGGTTCATGAAGCAGTACCACTCTGTTGGAAGGAAACACCAGTCTGTACGCTATGCTTGCCATATGGTTGTACACTGCTTTTTAAAAAAGAAGGCACTCCTGGCTGATGGTATTGAAACGGAGATCAGCACTGCACCATAAACTTCATGAAAAGAATGACCCTGATATAACTGTCATAAAAGTGAATTAATACCGGCATTCCAACTGTGACATCTTTTCTTTCTTTTAGTCCAATGGAACAACTGATCTGTGGTATGAACGCATAATACAGTAAGAAAAATATCGTCATGTGAGAGTAGGTGATTCGTTTATGCTGCCAGCATTCATCATAAATTTTATGAGTACGCAAAAAGGAGCATTGGCCCTGTCATTATTGGACACAAGATCTTCGTCTGTTTTCAGAGACGTCTATTTTTGTATTAAAAGATTTTCAGTTCTTAATTCATGGTTCACGAAGAGCAACAATTTGG